CAATATTATTTGAAATAATGGAGGCTTTATTTTCTGGAGATCCGACATGGTGGTTGCCAACCATTATCTGAGAGATATCATCACCGAGGACGCCCTCAGGTATCCACCAATTCGATCCCATGGTCCCTCGTGACAACAGTTGACAGTTCCTCGAGAAGATAAGTCAATCTTCACAGATTTTACTTATCTTATAACAGTACTAAATAGCTACATGCTATATATAATTTGTTTAAGTTCTTTTATCATCACAGTACTATGATTATTACATCATACAATATATAAGTTAACAACTCTACAGAGTTGGTTATTATATATTTTACCTTAACTTAATTATATATCTTCAGCATAGTACTATACTCAGATTGTAAAAAATATATAAGCTAACAAACTCTACAGAGTTTGGGGTTTATATCATATCAGTATATTAGCTAACAAACTCTAAAGAGTTTTTGCTAATTGGCTTAGAAGTCCTCATCATATCTTAAGCAATATGGTTACATTATAACATGTATTAGCTAACAAACTCTACTGGAGTTTTTGCTATTATATATGTAACTTAAGCTTATTCATATCTTAGCTTAGCGCCGTACTATGTTTATATCATATAGGTATATTAGCTATCAAAACTCTAAAAGAGTTTTTGCTATTATATATTTGGCTTAAGTTTCATCATAATTTAAGCTTTATGGTTACATTATAACTTGTATTAGCTAACAAACTCTCTTACTGAGTTTTTGCTATTATATATGTAGCTTAAGGTTTCCTTCAAAGCTCAATAATATGTTTATATCATATAAGTATATTAGCTAACAAACTCTCACTATGGTGTTTGCTATTATATATGTAGCTTTAGGGTTTCCTTCATAAACTCAATACTAGGTTTATATCATATAAGTATTTTAGCTAACAAACTCTAAAGGGTTTTTATTATTATACAATTAGCTTAAGTTTCATCATATCTTAAGCAGTATGGTTACATTATGAAATGTATTAGCTAACAAAAAACTCTACGAGGAGTTTTGCTATTATATATATAGCTTAAGTTTAATTATATCTTAAGCTCAAAGTACTATGGTTATAACATAAAAGTATATTAGTTAATAAACTCTAAGGAGTTTTTTTTGCTATATACATTTAGCTTAAGTCTAATCTTATCTTAAGCTTAGTACTATGGTTACATTATAAATCTATAAGCTAATAAACTCTACAGAGTTTTGGCTATTATATATGTAGCTTAAGTTAATTATATCTTAAGCACAGTACTATACTCATATTGTAAAAATATATTAGCTAACAAACTCTACAGAGTTTTGCTATTATATAGGTAGCTAAAGCTTATTCATATCTTAAGCTCAGCACTATGTCTATATCATATAAGTACATTAACTAACAAACTCTAAAGAGAGTTTGCTATTATATAATTAGCTTAAGTTTAATCATATCTTAAGCTTAGTACTATGTTTATAATTTAAAGTAATTTAGCTAACAAACTCTAAGGAGTTTATACTAGCATATTAACAAGCTTAAGTCTATTAGTCTTAAGCATTGTATTAATGTTATATATACTTTATCATAATAAGTACATTGTAATAACCTTTATATGGCAGCTGATAAGTTAGCAGCAGGAATTCATCAGTTCAGTGCCTTTTATGAAGTTCCCATAGGGTTATTACAATCATCACAGTTCAAATCACTAATTATTAAAATCCAAAGTATTATATATTCCCACCTCCAATCCGTTGGATTCTACACAGTAAAGAGCATGAGTCAGGATAAGGAAAAATATGTAATTTTTGAGTAAAATTGATATTTTATACTTATCCTGACTCATGAGGTCAGCTCCCTCCCATCCTCCCCAAATAACACTTTGGATTTCCCTGTAAATTCAAATGTTGGGCTCAGTATATGAGGAGAGAGTGAGGCACATGGGTAGAGGGTGGTGCCCTCCCCCAGCAGCTTTGTGGAGGGAGGTAACCTCGTGGTGTACTAATTAGTGATTTTTACATTGAAGGGAACTTCAATTAGGGAGATACAAGTGTTCCACTATGTTCGCAAGAGGAAGGAGACAAGCAAAAGAGCATGAGTCAGGATAAGTATAAAATATCAATTTTACTCAAAAATTACATTTTTAATTGAAGGGAACTTCAATTGGGAGATACACGTGTTCCACTATGTTGGCAAGAAGAAGAAGACAAGCAAATAAACATGAGTCAGGATAAGTATAAAATATTAATTTTACTCTAAAAATTTCATTTTTTGTTATTTTGAATGAACAGAACTGTCAGTTTTAAAACTGGATAGAAGAACGGTACAAAAACACCTAATGTTTGGATTTGAATACGGTATACCGAACCGAAGGCAAAATACTGCGGTTCTGTTAATACCATGGTATACCATTTCACCTCTAGTATATGCTCATTTGCATACCCAGTGTGAGTTCCATGTATATTTCCAGTAAAATTGGTTTGACATAAAAGGAAAATTAAAATTCAAGTAATGTAATAAACTTGGTTATAATTTTGTTAGTCATCACGCGGATGACATCCTTACCTTGTCAGCTTGCTGATGCGGTAAATTTCTTTGGTCATATCAATAATGTGTTGATTCTGGACTGTGGTTCGAATCCCATCAAGGACTTCAAAATTGTATGGCCGCCGTGTTTGCACACAAGTAGGGTCTGAGTATGTTCATACTTCACAGACCTATAAGGCTGAGGTCAGTTTGTGTTCCACTAGTGGGAAGCGCCATTTTGGTTTGTCTAAAACTGGGAATGTGTGAAACGAAGTGAGAGTCATATCATATTTTCAATTCGTTAATTAAAACTAAGAGATGTTTCATTATTCAATTTGTGTATGGTAGTGAAATGTTCTGAGGAAATATACCTACTTTTGCTAAATTTACTGTGTCCATATTGTGTATGAATAAACTATGGGGCTTCTGTGATGATCTCAATTATTATCTAGCCCATAGCTCCATTATAACCAATATTGCATATATTACCCTGGCAATGCTGCACATGGTAACATATTCAAGCTGCACTGTTTGGAGTGAACAGCTCTATTTATTTCACACAACTTTTGCATAAAGTATGATTCCAGTAGCTTCCACTCACACAGTTTGTTTTTTAGATTGGAGCAGCTGACTAAGAAAACCTTATCATGTGACTAGGTTTGGACAGGGAAATGTTAAAATGGAAATGAAACGAAAAATGATATTTATTTCTTTTACCCACTGACTTAAAATTTTGGTTGATCTCTATTTGTGTATTAGTGAAACCTGTCTAAACTGGCACCCCACGGGACCAAAATAAAATGCCGGTTTAGAGAGGGTGCCGGATTAGACAGTGATGATCATTTTCCAACATGGCTGCCATTTTCACTCGTCAATCTCCTTATAATGCCTTTGCCAATTTGATATTTAACTGCAAGTTATCAAAGTCATTGAATTTTTTAACAAGTTTGTAAAGCATAACCGCTGTAATCCTACGAGTGTTTGATTCACCACACAGTCACTACTTCATGATTATCTACGCGCCGCGAGCATTAATTAGTGTATTCGATTATGATTGATTGGACTGCTCATACCCATGCCGGGTTTACAGTTAAGATTGCTTGTTGGGACCGGAAAGTTGTGCCGAATATGGAATAGACAAGGCCGGATTAGACCCTGTCTTAATGATCAAAATATTGTTGTAAAATGGCGGGACCAAACTTTTATGCCGGTTTTGACAGAGTGCTGGATTAGACAGGTGCTGGTGTTGGCAGGTTTCACTGTAATTTTGATAATCTTTGCCAAATCATGTCATGTATGTTAAATTCCTTTATAAAGAGCCAGTTATAGATAGTTAATTACTTTTCAGTTTCAGACTTGCATCACAACGTTGATTCTTTAGTCAAATCAGCTTGATAATACAGGAAGAATCTCACGTAAACCTTGCTATATATGCTATACACCTGAAGTGGTCATCCATAAAACTACCAAATCTCATTATGCTTTAGTTCTTTGGTATTTGTTTAATTTACTATCAAACTAAATGTTGCACATTTACTTTCAAAATCAGATTGTGCTTTATGATGCAATTCATTGCCTCTGTTATCTGGATGTTTATTTCAAACTCGGATTTTTTTGTAAGTCACATTATGAAACTATCATGAACATATTTTCCATGATTACTCACTCACTCACCTATTGCTTAGATTTAAAATGAAAATCTAACTAATTACTTAACATTCTGATATCCTTGCCTCAGTGATAACCACTTGGTGCCAAGATATAGTTTAGTATATAGTAATTTCAGATTAATAAATGGATTTATTTCGATTGGCCGTGGTGACATATTGACAAGAATTCAGATAGTGTACCAAGAAGCTTATTTTCACAGACAATGATTTGACAACTCATATGTTGTTATGGACCGTTCATATCATATTGTATGGCTGTGGGGAGGTGATGATGACTTTGTTTTGTGTGTGTGTGTGTGTGTGTGCGCTGTGTGTGTGTGAGAGGTAGGGGGATGTCAGCAATTTTATACATAACAATATCAGGCAATTATGCTTAAAAATATGGGAAGAAGCGGGGAGGTGTTTGATTTTATACATGGCATGCAGGGGTCACTTACTTTGTACATAAATTTAAGGGGGTGGGGCATTCACATTGTACATGCTTCTCCATTAAAATAATCACCATCATCATCCCCCTAGCCATAAATTATGAACGGGTCTCTTATATGAATCACAAATCAAATGAAATCATGTATATTTTCAATTGGTAATTGCTACTGATAAGAAATTCAACAAAAAACGATTGTTACAAATCATATATATTTCATTGGGTATGGATTAACTTTTTACCCTTTTAAAATGAGTTTTAGTTGATAAGGAGTGGGTTAAGATTATCCCAAACCATAGTTGTTTCGTCACGGTAAACAGAGCAGGGTTTGCCTGTTGAAGATGTGTTACTAAATACTGCTGTATGTAGTGTACGATGTACTATGATTCCAGCTCTCTGACAGACACCCAGAACGACATTGGCACCAGATACATATGGATCATCGGTGTACTGATTGCTTGCATCATCATCATCGGAATTGTGGCTGTCTGGTGTTACTGCAGGCTCAATGGTAGTGTTATGTTATGTTTCTGAATAGACACAGATGATATCAAGACCTGCCCTTGATTTTAAATAACATTTTCTTGATCAACCTACCCGTTAGGATCCGGATTAGAATTGGTCTTCATCCATGCTTGTCATAAGAGGCAACTAACGGGATTGGGTGGTCAGACTTGCTGACTTGGTTGACACATGTCATTGTATCCCATTTGCGAAGGTTGATGCTCATGCTGTTGATCACTGGATTGTCTGGTCCAGACTTGATTATTTACAGACCGCCGCCATATGGCTGGAATATTGCTGAGTGTGGCGTTAAACAACTAACCAACCAAGCAACTCTGCACAGAAACTTACATGATACAATACGATGTTTATGCAGGTGATGGCCCAAAGTACTAACTGAACTTTTTCCTGTTTTTCAGGCAAAACAAATGCTGAAATTCTCAATTGTTTTTGCTGTGTGTTTGCACTTGGTTCCAATAGGAATAATGCAGTGGTTAACCAAGGTAAGATGTCATCACAGAGACGCTTACAGCCTTGTGTCAAAGTTGGCGGGAATTACATACAAATTGACCTTGTTGTTGCGTCAAGACTATTTTTTCCAAAGATCGTTTGACTGTATATAATACTGACAGAAACAAACAACTATATATATTTTGAAAAGGAGCCAATGTGAGACTTAGATCTGAACCTGGGAAAATCTAGACTTGCTTCATGTCAGACATAACATTGTGAGTGCGACTACGTCAGGGACTGTGTTACTACTCCATAGGTGCAGGGATGTGCACCCCACTTTTGTCCTGAAAGTTAAATGACCATTGAAACTCTCGTGAAAACGGGTGAAATTGAACTGTTACGCCCCTTTCTCAAAAAGCTGTATCTGCCCCAGTACCCCACTCTCTTCCCGTGGAGATCCTGGTTAGCTATGGACTCTTTTCTTGTTGTACGTTTCAGTTATTTGCATTGGGTGGTCAAAAGTGCTGCAACCAATCCACAATAAGGCAAATGTGATGCATATCGTAAATATTGGGTAATGGATACAATAACAAGGCAGTAGCTGATGTTATATTTGATATATGTTGTACAGCAATGACAATAATTACTTGACCATCTGGACAGTGACCACACTGCTGTCATATTATCTATACATGTATGAGAGTAAAGACAATTACATTGTTCAAAAATTATTTTTAAAATCATGTATGTTTGATTCATGATTGCAGATTGATATCTCTAGCCGTTTGGCCGCCATCTTGGATTAAAGTTTTTCATTTTCAGGTTGCCATAACAACAACAGTTGAAATTTAAATGACTTGACTTTTACAGCATCGTTAGCACAGTCAGTGGAATGCTGTGTGCAAAATCTCAACTCTGTACATTTCATAGTTCCGAGATACTAACTATACAGTATTTGGCGGACAGACATGCGGACAGACGGCGGACATATTTGTCACTAAATCTGACCAGCGATATGATACATCGGGTCTGGGCAAAAGCAGAAACACTAATTCCTTTTACCCTAGAGGCAATAATAACGGCGCCTTTAGCTCGCCAAAACGTGTTTTTGTCCTGTAACGGACCGGTCAAATGACCTTGACCCCGTGACCTTGGTGACCTTGACCATTAGAAAGCATTTTGACATACTATCAAGTTCCGGGTTAAAACCCCGAAAACTCAAAATAAGCGACTTTATTAGGGCTCCTTGCCATTAGGCAGGAGACCTATTGTAATCGTTCGTGTTTTTATTATTATTATTATTATTTATTCTTCCCGCCGTGATTTTGTAACAGAGCTACAGAGAGCACCGCTGGACAGAATGCCTTGACAAAATCACCCAGATGCCCACCGAGGGTACATATCGCGCTTTAAAATCTGTAGGCTGTAGGACCAATAGCAAAGGGCAGATAATTCAAAATTAATTCAAAATTTCAATTTCAAATGCAGATTTCTCCAAAACTAATGCTCCAATGTGTGCCAAAGTTCTGGAGCAGATGCGCAATCAAAATGCCTACAATTTCGCCTGGACGGCTCAAGTCGCTAAAATGCACCGCTTGGTCGCTATTTTGGATTGAAGTTTTGGTGATGTTTTCAGCAAAATGCTGACTACTTTCCTCCCAAAATGTGCTGCACTGAAACTTCAAGAGCTACGGCTTTCAAACTTTGCATACTTTGTGTCTATGCACCTTACTACACAGTAGCATCGTCAAATGTGGCTATGTGTATTTGATGGCCGCCATGTTGGACGCTACTTCTGGGCAAAAGTTGTCTTCAAAACTTTCACGGGCTTCTTTTGCCATTTTGTGCCAAACTAAACTTAGCACATACAACACTTTAAACGCTTTGTTCTGAAGTGGCCTTTGGTTGTTGAACATTTTCTGTTCAGTGTCAAAGTCACTGCAAGCGCTACGGCGCTCAACATTATCCGTGTGAATACAACGTGATGGGAGCTAAAAGGAAAAAAATACTATTTGAGACTTTAACCCCAAACGAAAAAGAAAAAGAGTGCCAAACAAACAGACCCACAACTCCAGGCACCACGCCAAACATTACGCAAAAGGCTTCCAACAACGTACCAGTGATCATAAATAATACTTTACAGTCAAAACCCCAAAGTTTAGACAGATTTTAACAAAATAGGGACTTCTTTTTATCGCCGACGGCCCAGGGATACATTGCTGAATGTGTCATAAGTTTCATCGACATTTACAGCACGGGCAGATTACCCCGGTAAAGCATGCGACAGTCTGAAGGAAAGCGCAAGGACGATATCCCCTATAAAGCTTAACTACCACCGCAAAGCCGTGGTCCACGCGGCAGATATTGGAGCCGATGTCAATTTCAATTGACAGTGACGAGAAGTGTGTATGGCTGCGAAAGCTATGTAAGAATGCAAATACCGCTTCACGGCAATGACGATTTATCTCCTTTAGACATTGAAACCTTATAAAATCCAGACGGAATTATTATATAACTGAAACTAACCGCTTTACGGAATTCAAGTAACAACGCTTTAAAACATAAAATGCACTTGGTATCTTGTTCTTTATTTTCTTTTCTTTATTTTTATTTTGTTTTGATTCATTCATTAATGTCCTAATGTCTGCTCCATAGAATTAAGTCAAGATAATAACGAATTATATGCGGAAAAGCATTGACATAGGTCATATGGTCTGTTTGCTAATCATATTTCCATCTTTGTTATGTTGTGTATTATGAAAAAAATGTAAACATTAATGGAAATAAAAATACTGTTTAAATCAATACCGCTTCTCTATCGATCTGCCTTTCCAAGTTTAGATCCGGGTTCTGCACCTCTAAAGTTGGAAACAGGCTGATATTGAAATATGAATATAACTGAAAAAGTGTGTTTTCAATGTAGTGATAAGATTGAAGACCTAACGCCACGTACTGTTGGCATGTCCGGCTGTAATGATGATCTACTTGACAGTTTATATGGTCATATGTGGTTCAGCTTTATCCCAACTTCCTAGATTTATGTGATAATTAAAACATGATTTTACTATTTTAAAGAACATGTTTATTTTTACAGCCAAAACTCATGCGCTTTATATTCTTCTAAAAGAAGAAAACTATTTGATGCTGCTAAATCCATAGTGTTACTTTTATCATGTATGCCACTCTTTCAATGTAATAGTCTCTCATAACCCTTTAAAGGATGGCTCATTTTATGTATATGTTTGTATATATCTGTACTTTTACACAGGGTGAGAGACTTAAATAAAATCTTTTGTCCGTCTCGAGGTGAGTGAGTTCACCAGAAATCGCGTTTCGCAGCGTGTTAACTGATTTCATAAAATGTGTTCACTCCGATAAGTGTACACGCTTAGGGCGAAAGTAATAATCACCGTCAGGAAATTGTTGCTACAGATAGATTAGCAAATTACTTCTGACATTTCGAGAGGTGGAAGATATTTTCGCGTGAATTGACACACATACAACACAATCCCTGAAGAGGAAGGAGAAATGACTGGTGTTCGTGGGTATCCAAGTGATGTAAATCAACTGTATCTACTGAAGTACTTGACATCCTCACACAACCACCCCCGCTGATCCAAATGAACTGAGATTTGTCGCATGCTTAATAACCGTGGGGAACATTAGCATCATTGCCGACACACAGTGTATTATAATTTTATTAAAACTGTAAAATAAACCCTTGTTTCGCTTTCCTTATAATTACACAGTCTAGTATTGCCTGAAGTCCTGCAATAACCACAAACTCTGCTCTATTGTCTGACGTTAATTAGCTTAGTAACCCAAAGTGGACACATTTTTCTAGACTTTGTCTTTACACCTAATTTGGGATGTCAACGCCCCAGAATATCCCTACTGGAGTACCTTGGTTGCTGTAAAACCACATGTTCACTTGTGTCAAAGTGAGAGGAACAGCTGTATGGATATTGATAAACGCTAAAAAATTCATAATTCATCTTTGTAAATAACATGCATTCAGCATCATACTCATAGGTGACAAGACCAGCATCGATTTGGGCATTCCACATTGACATGTTCTGATACAACTAACATATTGTTCGAAAACTTGCAGATTCACTCTCACATCAACTGATGTCCTGACATTCTCATATTTTTAGGTGTGCCTAGGTTTAACCATGAACTGCAGCCTCTTCAAGGATTGGACACTGAGGCAGATCAAGAAGAGCGACCAGACGATCCTCCAGGGCAGCCTGTTGATCCTCCAGTTGATCCTCCAGGGCAGCCTGTTGATCCTCCAGGGCAACCTGTTGATCCTCCAGTTGATCCTCCAGGGCAGCCTGTTGATCCTCCGGGGCAGCCTGTTGATCCCCCGGGGCAGTGTGTTGATCCTCCGGGGCAACCTGTTGATCCTCCAGGGCAGCCTGTTGATCCTCCGGGGCAACCTGTTAACCCTCCAGGACAGCCTGTTGATGAAGGAACTCTGCCTAAACAATGGACGCCAGGTCTTCCAAGATATACTTCTAATGAAGACTTACCCTCTGACCACCCTCCACCTTACACTGTAGGTCAGTAAGACCATTTCTCCTGCCAGTGAAGAGATTTGGTAACTTGCATGCAATGGAATATTTTGGGAGTTAGAATGTGTCCTGATGAACCCTGACAAGCAGCTTACTATGACCCCAACTATATGAGTAGAGACTATTGACAGGCTCACTGTACTACAAACACTAAAGACACATCAGCTAAAGGTAGTCATCAAGTTGCTCTTTCCAACTGCTGTGTAAAATAAGGATTTCTTACACTAAAGTAGCCCTGATGGCTATATACAGATGCATCCAGAAACCTAAAGAATTTTCTGAATTTCTTCTTCTTTTATTCTTTGATACAATGTTTCGGGGCCTGTTCTGGCCCCACCGTCAGGCAAAACTAATAAACAGTTCACTGTGCCCCAAAACGTATCGAACAATAAAAGAAGATGAAATTCAGAAAATTCTTTATGTTCATCAAATAGCATCTTCTAAATTGCCAATCATGCATCCAGAATGTCTATTGCTGTCTATGATCCAACACTTATGGCAACCTTGTATAAACCTTCAAAATCAATTCTATTTATATACCCCGTCTCCATAGTGACCTTGAAGGGAGCACATCATCAGCACATTCATGATCCCTAAATAAAGACTGCAAGAAATTGTGTTAGTCTTCCATTGTTTCTTATGCAATGCTTGGCCACTTAGACCACCAGCTTCTAAGGTCATGTGCTCCTTGAGATCTTCCAGTCTTTGGGCATTGTTCCATGACATCCTCTAACTGAGTGCTCAAGAAAGTACAAATTAGTTACTCCTTGGCAACCAATTGTCATAACACCAGTGGACTTCTCTTACAAATAGCAGTCAAAGATGTATGAGACTGATATTGATTAACTCGAGAGCTTGTTAATCCAGGTTTATGACCATCTGGTGGGGATGATAGTTGTCACATGGCTTGGTTCATATTTATTTCACTTTTGATAAGAAAATAGACTCGATCCAAGTTTTTACTCAAATTTCAAACTGAGTTTAACAATTCGAATCCGTTGAGTTTCTAATTCATTTGCATTCCTAAGACCAAAAAGCCCAAACAACTCACATACCAATCTACCAAACTCAGATTGTCTACTAAGTTAGAGTTTAATAGCCATTTTAGTTTATTCTGGCAAATGCATTTTCCTGTGTTTTCTCAAATTTGAGTTAAAACTGTAACTTCAGTGAAAACTCAGACTTAAGTTTGTTTTGAGAAATTGGAGCCTGGTCATCATTGTCATATATCCGTAAAAAACATCTATCTGGCTTAAGATTGAGTAGCTTTCTTCATAAAGGGATAGTTTGCAAAGTCTTGATTCTTTGTTCCACAGAACCGATTATGCCTGGGGCCAGGGAACTAACCGTGAACTTAGACGACAGTGCCTTGAGTGATCCTGGTCACATGACAGGAAGGTCATGTGCAGCTGGGCCCGATACAACACAAAGAAAAATGGAACTTGGGCTCAGTGCAGGTACTATATTGCTGATGCAGTTTTGAAAATATACCCATGGAAAAAAGTAATGCAACACCTATGATTGTAAGCCGATTTCAGCCATTAGAGCACATTATTTTGTTGCATGTCTACTTCACTTGATGAAACTTCCATGTAACTAGACCTCCAAAACAATCATATTCTTTTCATAGAGATCGTCCTTGGGGTACCTATATGCATTTTCTGAGGCTGAAAATGTCATGTGACAGTTGTATCCATGTTTTAATAAAAACATTGTACAATAAATATGTATTTTTATTTATTATATGGCCCCACCACTGGAGTAACCTCCCTGCCACGCATGCGTCGCCAACCAGGTAAGCGTCTAGTCCCAAATCATCATTCCTTCTGCTGTCACGCTATGTGTATACACGTGCTTTGACTAGTGCTGACAAGAGTATTCATACTACGACTATGTCTGAGTCTTCAAGTACTGTATGTATGGTCTTTATGCGTTCTTTAGAACGTTCTTTTGACTTTGCAGTTAGTTATTTCTCATTAATGTAACTTTTGTATTAAAAAATTTACGCTCGCTTTCCCGTGGTTTACGCATGTGTTGCTATTCCATGGCGGGAAGTTTAGCGTGCCACATGGTGAAATATTGCTTTATATACAATTATTTAATGTCACGTAGTCGCATTCACGTATTTTCAATGTTTTATATGTGTATTTTGCTGTTGTATTGGCCGTTAGCTACATGTGTTGCGTGTTTGCTTTCAGGCGTTTAAGGAGTGTGTTGCCTGCAGCCACAACATAAGTATGAAAAGTGTTTATGTTGTCTTGAAAAAGCTGGGCACACCTCAGACGTGTGTGAGCTGTGTTTCTCTCTCCATCACTCTCTCTCTCTCTCTCTCTCTCTCTCTCTCTCTCTCTCTCTCTCTCTCTCTCTCTCTCTCACACTCACACACACACACACACACACACACACAGAGAGAGAGAGAGAGAGAGAGAGTGCATTGTGCAGATGTTTCCCCAAGCTGTGGTGCTGACGAGTTCAGCTGCAAGGGACTACTCACGCTCTCTTACCACACATCCCAGTGGAAGGCCGCCTCTCTCTATTCCTTCCGGAGAAAACTATTGGGTGCTGTCCACCGTCTGTGTCGGCCATCTCCCTCTGTGGAAGCGAGGCCCGCCAGAGTTCACCGGCATACGTTGCACTCCAGTGCCGCCATGGCCGGTCAGGGCGGGTATACAGCGAGACGAGGTTCAGGCTTTGCTGGACAAGTCCGCAATAGAGGGTATCCCACCGGGCGAGGAACAACAAGCAGGGTTTTATTGCACGTACTTTCTCGTACCGAAGAAGGATGGAGTTCCATCCCATTCTCAACTTCAGGGGTTGAATTGCTTGTTAGAGGTTCCATCCTTCAAGATGGAGACTTTGCTCGGTGATCTCCTCTGTTCAGACTGGCGATTGGCTCACGTTGATCGATCTCAAGGATGCGTATCTACATGTGCCTATTCATCCCACGTTCAAGCAGTACCTCCAGTTCTCTTATGATGGGATCTGTTCAGGGTGCTCCCCTTTGGCATATCTACTGCCCCCAGGGTGTTCATCAGGCTCATGTTAGTGCTGTCTACTCTCGAGCGGTCGCAAGAAAGGCATTGTCACCCTTACCTGGACGACTGGTTGCTGCCCACTCAGCCAGCGAGTCTAGATTCTACTCACACGGTGATAGACATTCTAGTTCGACTGGGATGGATCATAAACCTCAAGAAATCCGACCTGGTACCTTCCCAGGACTTGGTTTTTCTCGGGGCGCGGTTCAAAACTCAACAAGGTGTTGTGTCTCTGTCGCCTGACCGGATCACCAGAGTACGGGAGATGGTAATATGGTGGCGAACGTCTGTGTAGTGTGGCGGGTGCGGTTCAGGATGCGCCCTACATAGCAAGCTTTGGCGAGTCTGATGGCCCAGTTGGAGGATCTGGAGAAGTGTCTCACAGTCCCGGGGTGGTTGTCTCCTCACTTTCAGTGGTGGACCGATGTCGGGAATCTCTCCAAGGGAGTCCCTTTGGAAATCCCGACACGAGCTTTTACAGTTCAAACGGATGCATCCCTCTCGGGCTGGGGGTGGTGTTATGGGCAGTCTGTCGGTTTCCGGACTCTGGTCCAAAGCCGAAGCCAGTCTTCACATCAATGTCTTAGAACTGAGAGCTGTGCGGTTGGTTTTCGAGAGCTTCCGGGAGCATGTTCAGGGCCAGGTGGTTCGTCTTCCATATGGCCATGACGCACATCCTGAAGCAAGGCAGCACGGTGTCCCTATCGCTCTCAGGAGACGTGGGAGTTTCTTCTCTGGTGCGACCAGTGCGACTGTCAGGTCATTCCTGTCTATGTCCCGGGGCTAGAGAACATGCGAGCAGATGAGCTCTCTCGGCGGATCCTGGCCCCGCACGAGTGGATGCTCGATCGGCAGATATTCGGAGTTATCTCCCAGTTGTATGGGTTGTTCCAGGTGGATCTGTTTGCGTTCGGCGAGAAGAATCAGATACCCGTGTACTGCTTTCGGATACCGGACCAGAGGGCTTTGGCTTCCGACGCCTTCCTGCTGGATTGGATGGGCAAGGTGCTGTGGGTATTCCCGCCGCTTCCTCTCATTCTCTGGGTCCTCTCCCATCTGTCCACCCAGCCAGTTCGGCTACTTGTGCTTCTGGCACCGCTTTGGCTGTCACAGAGCTGGTTTCTGGTAATTCTCAGGTTTCTGGCTCAACATCCTGTTCTATTACCCGTACGACATTCTCACTCAGAACGGCACACCACACCCCAATCCACGGATTCAGTGGGTGGCTTGGCCTCTGTCAGGTCTAGCCTTGAAGCACGCAAGATTCCTGCAGCAATTGCAGACACAATTCTGGCTTCGAGGCGGGATTCGACAAACGTTCTGTACGAGGATAGGTGGTCCCGCTATGGGCGCTTTTGTTCAGATAAGGGGATTGCAGATCCCTTTTCTGCGGATTTAGTCCAAGTTTTGGAGTTTCTGCAGTCTCGTTTGGAAGAAGGTTTGGCGGCTTCGACCATTTTGGCTACTCCACCACTATTTCCACCTTTCACACCCCTGTCGATATGCTCTTCTGGGGCAGCACCCTCTTATGCAGCGCTTTCTAGCTTCCACATCGGGGACCTCTGCAACGAGCACTCACCCATTGGACCTCAAGGTCTACATCAAACGAACACAAGGGATCTGTACGGGTACCCATCTGTTCTGCTGTCACGGTGGCGGGACGGCTGGAACTCCTGCCAGCAAACAGACACTTTCTCGCTGGCTTGTGTCTTCATTTGTACTGGATATCAGGCTAAGGACAAGACTCCCCCTGAGGGGTTGAAGGCTCACTCGGTCAGGGCAGTAGCCAAGCTTTTGAAGTAACAGGATGTTAGTTATCAACTGGCCATTGACAGGTTGATTGGCTATTTAAGTCCAATATGGGGAGAGTATGCCAGATTGTACAGATTAATAGTGTCATTGGATAATTGTCGGATAATTCAATGTTTAAATGATGATATTATAGAAGAACGCTCCTGGGACCCAAAAACTCTGTCGGAATTCACAGATTGTCCGATAATTCAGATGTCGGATTATACAGAGTCCACTGTATTTATACTGTGACAGAATTCCCTCCTCCCTAGCCTCCAGTCTTAGGGAGTCTGTTAATGCATATATGTACCCCAAGGATGATCTTGATGGAAAAGAATTAGATAAACCTGTAGAGGTTTCCAATTCTTTGCAGAGAATCGTCCTTGGAGTAGGGCCGTCCACCTCCTCCCCGCAATTGTGTTCACTGACTTGTTCATCAGAAGGAATGATGATTTGGGCCTAGGTGCTTACCTGGTTGGCCATGCATGCGTGGCAGGGAGGTAACTCCACCTGTTGGGGGCTGAAAAATAAATAACAAGACTTTTGTTTATTGTACAATATTTATATTAAAACATTGATACAACTGTCACATGACATTTTCAGCCTCAGAAAATGCATACATGTACCCCAAGGACGATTCTCTTCAAAGAATTGGAAACCTCTACAGGTTTATCTAAATACATGTGAAAAAAGAATCAAATTTGAAATTAAGCGTAGGATTTGGTCTGAAACTTTGCTATTATTTGTGAACGTGGTGCCTGTTTGAGGCTGTTTGGTATTGAACAAGGCACATGTGCAAATATTATCTTGACTTTGAGGACTATATGAAATTTGATACGCCTACCAGCGATCATAATCAGTTATGATTGAAAACATGATCATCTATTGCAGGACAATCATACAATTGGGTGTGAACTTTAGCTATAATCTTTTAGAGGGTGAAAATTTGTTGGGAGGTGGAAATTTGTTGGGAGGTGAACATTAGTGGAAAATTGTTGGCTTCTGTTAAATGTTCAGACTATCCTCAGCTAACATTCATCTGCCTCATATATTTTATAACTTGGAAGAAAATCTTTTGTATTTATTGTGTATGATATGCTGTAAACACTTTCGTGAACATCCCCAACATTTTCAAAGCAGCTCTGAAGAAACTGATTCTGTTGACCAGCAAAAACTACTTTTTTAAAGCTTGCTGTCACATGTTGCCATATCCCAAATGCGTAGATCAATGCTTGTGATGTTGATCACTGGATTGTCTGGTCCAGGCTCGATTAATAACAGACCACTGCCATATAGCTGGTGTATTGCTGAGTGCAGCGTTAAACAACATACAAACAAAACTTTATGTAACATTCTTTGTAGTACCCCCTGTATTTCCTAAAAAGAAATATACCATGACTTCTGCATTGACTTATCACATGATACTCTTCATTTAAAGGTGAATTTCCAATCCCCACAAGTCAAGATGGGCCATGTGCTATGACTCGGGGGACTATTGAGAAATCACACAATCGGCCATTGCTTCAAGGTCCGCTGGAGACGTGTCCGAAGGAAGTTGTGCAAGGACATGTAGCTGAAGTGTCAGAGACTGAGAAAAAAATACCAGTCTTAGGTAGAGGTCCAGTTGTATCACAAAGGATCACAAAGGAAACACCAGTCTCACCTCAGTCGCAGCCTCAGCTTCAGGCCCAACCCCAGGTCAAATGCCAAACCCAGGCCCAGGCTCAACCGAAAGTCCAGGCTCAACCCAAAGTCCAGTCTCAGCTGCAGGGCCAACCCCAGAACAGTGTTGTGGACAGTGGGCATCACATCCCAGGGTCACGTCCATCGTTGGGTGGAGAGTCACTCCATATGAGCAGCTTCAACTTAGAATAAATTCCTACAATGTATTAACAGCCAAACTCTCCAGGTTGTAAAGTCAAGGATTAAATAGACATTCAGCATGAAATCTGGGTACACAACAGAATACTGGATACCTATCAACCATGATGTTATTATTTATATGATACAACAGCATGTGACAGCATGACTGTTTTCAAAATGAGGCAGTGATACTTGAACAGTCCAAAGTAAATACTGGTTGCATTTCTATGTTTAATATAACTGAATCTCAAAACTGAATATCAAAGTTAAGTTATCACAGATACAATTCATCAGTTTCATCTGTTGCAGACATATGTACACAGGAATTGTTTCAAGTCATTGTGTGGGGAGCAAGTCCCCAACCTTATTCTACTGAGATAGCATACAATGTTTGAAACCTTTAACAAGGATGGAGGCCAAATAAAAAAAATGTTGTGGTTCCGATTACCTTTTTATCCCACCGGCATGTAATGCGGTGGGATATAGTCGTCGCCTCGTCCGTCTGTCCGTCCGTCCGTAATCATTTTGTTTCCGGAGCATAACTCAAAGACCGTTCGATATTTTTTTTAACCAAAATTGGAAGATATGTCAAACATAACCTAAAGTGGTGCCTTTTGCTATTTACAGGTTATTGTCATTTTTATTTTTCTCGGTTTCCATGGAAACGTTTTGGACTTCGTCTTAAAGAAGGGTGGGCTTCGTTTCCGGAGCATAACTCCAGAACCGTTCAGTATTTCTCAACAAAACTTGGTAGATATATCAAACAGATCCTTAAGTGGTGCCTTTTGCTATTTGCAGATTTTTGGCATTTTTATTTTTCCCGGTTTCCATGGAAACGATTCGGACTTAGTCCCAAAAGTGAGGGGTGGGCTTCGTTTCCGGAGCATAAGTCAAGAACCGTTCAATATTGTTCAACAGAACTTGGTAGATGTATGAATCAGAACCTTGAGTGGTGCCTTTTGGTATTTGCAGATTTTTGTCACTTTTATTTTTCCCGGTTTCCATGGAAACATTTTGGACTTAGTCTCAAAAAGTAAGGATTGTTTTCGTTTCCGGAGCATAACTCAAGAACCGTTCAGTATTTCTCAACAAAACTTGGTAGATATATCAAACAGATCCTAAAGTTGTGCCTTTTGCTATTTGCAGATTTTTGTCATTTTTATTTTTCCCGGTTTCCATCGAAACGATTTGTACTTAGTCCCAAAAGTGAGCGGTGGGCTTTGTTTCCGGAGCATAACTCATTAACCGTTCAATATTTTTCAACAAAACTTGGTAGATATGTCAAACAGATCCTAAAGTTGTGCCTTTTGCTATTTGCAGAATTTTGGCATTTTTATCCCAGTGGCATGTAATGCGGTGGGATATAGTCGTCGCATCGTCCGTAATCATTTTGTTTCCAGAGCATAACTCAAAGACTGTTCGATATTTTTTAACCAAAATTGGTAGATATGTCAAACCTAACCTAAGGTGGTGCCTTTTGCTATTTACAGATTATTGTCATTTCTATTTTTCGGTTTCCATGGAAATGTTTTGGACTTAGTCTTAAAGAAGGGTGGGCTTCGCTTTCCAGAGCATAACTCAAGAACCGCTCAGTATTTTCTCAACAAAACTTGGTAGATATATCAAACAGATCCTAAAGTGGTGCCTTTGCTATTTACAGATTATTGTCATTTTATTTTTCCGGTTTCATTATGGAAACATTTGGACTTAGTCCAAAAGTAAGAGGATTGTGGAAGCCGTTTCCGGAGCATAACTCAAGAACCGTTCAGTATTTCTCAACAAAACTTGGTAGATATATCAAACAGATCCTAAAGTTGTGCCTTTTGCTATTTGCAGGATTTTTGTCATTTTTATTTTTCCGGTTTCCATCGAAACGATTTGTACTTAGTCCCAAAAGTGAGCGGTGGGCTTTGTTTCCGGAGCATAACTCATTAACCGTTCAATATTTTTCAACAAAACTTGGTAGATATGTCAAACAGATCCTAAAGTTGTGCCTTTTGCTATTTGCAGAATTTTGGCATTTTTATCCCAGTGGCATGTAATGCGGTGGGATATAGTCGTCGCCTCGTCCGTAATCATTTTGTTTCCAGAGCATAACTCAAAGACTGTTCGATATTTTTTAACCAAAATTGGTAGATATGTCAAACCTAACCTAAGGTGGTGCCTTTTGCTATTTACAGATTATTGTCATTTCTATTTTTCTCGGTTTCCATGGAAATGTTTTGGACTTAGTCTTAAAGAAGGGTGGGCTTCGTTTCCAGAGCATAACTCAAGAACCGTTCAGTATTTCTCAACAAAACTTGGTAGATATATCAAACAGATCCTAAAGTGGTGCCTTTTGCTATTTACAGATAATTGTCATTTTTATTTTTCCCGGTTTCCATGGAAACGTTTCGGACTTAGTCCCAAAAGTGAGGGGTGGGCTTCGTTTCCGGAGCATAACTCAAGAACCGTTCAATATTTTTCAACAAAACTTGGTAGATATGTGAGGCAGATCCAAAAGTGGTCCCTTTTGCTATTTGCAGATATTTATGATTTATTATTTTTTTGGTTTCCATGGAAATGATTCAGACTTAGTCTCAAAATGAAGGGGTGGGTTTCGTTTCCGGAGCATAACTCAAGAACCATTCAATATTTTTCAACAAGACTTGGTAGATATATCAAACAGAACCTTAAGTGGTGCCTTTTGCTATTTACAGATTTTTAGCATTTTCACTTTTCCCAGTTTCCATGGAAATGATTCGGACTTAGTCCCAAAAGTGAGGGGTGGGCTTCGTTTCCGGAGCATAACTCAAGAACCGTTCAATATTTTTCAACAAAACTTGATAGATATATCAAACAGATCCTAAAGTGGTGCCTTTTGCTATTTACAGATTTTTAGCATTTTTACTTTTCTCGGTTTCCATGGAAAAGATTCGGACGTTGTTGCAAAAAGTGAGGGGTGGGCTTCGTTTCCGGAGCATAACTCAAGAACCGTTCAATATTTTTCAACAAAACTTGGTAGATATATCAAACACATCCTGCAGTTGTGCCTTTTGCTATTTGCAGATTTTTGGCATTTTTATTTTTACCGTTTTCCATGGAAATGATTCGGACTTAGTCCCAAAAGTGAGGGGTGGGCTTCGTTTCCGGAGCATAACTCAAGAACCGTTCAATATTTTTCAACAAAACTTGATAGATATATCAAACAGATCCTAAAGTGGTGCCTTTTGCTATTTACAGATTTTTAGCATTTTTACTTTTCTAGGTTTCCATGGAAAAGATTCGGACGTAGTTGCAAAAAGTGAGGGGTGGGCTTCGTTTCCGGAGCATAACTCAAGAACCGTTCAATATTTTTCAACAAAACTTGGTAGATATATCAAACACATCCTACAGTTGTGCCTTTTGCTATTTGCAGATTTTTGGCATTTTTAATTTTCCCGGTTTCCATGGAAACGATTGGGACTTAGTCCCCAAAGTGAGGGGTGGGCTTCGTTTCCGGAGCACAACTCGAAAACTTCTCTATATCTTTCAGCAAAACTTTGCAGATATGTGAGGCAGATGCCAAAGTGGTGCCTTTTGCTATTTGCAGATATTTGTGATTTATTATTTTTCAGTTTCCATGGAAACAATTTGGACTTCGTCTCAAAAGGGAGGGGTTGGTTTTGTTTCCGGAGCAAAACGCGAAAACTTCTTAATATCTTTGAGCAAAACTTGGCAGAGATGTGAGGCAGATCCCAAAGTGGTGCCTTTTGCTATTTGCAGATTTTTGTCATTTATTTTTTTCATGATTTCCATGGAAACGATTTGCACTTAGTCTAAAATCAAGCTGGACTTTAAGTTACTGTCAGATGATTTGTTCTTTCAAAGATGTGGAGGCCGGGGGGATATGTCATCTTCTGATGACTCTTGCTTTGTTTTAACCAAAGTTTCTTCTTTGATTGGCATTCTAGAAACTGGGTAGATGAAGAATGATGACTATTTTTATGGATATACAACCATATGTAGAATAAAGAAGTTCACAATACACATTTTGATGAATAATGACAGAAAGTGTCCTGGATTAAGAAATTAGTCTCTTATATCCGTTTGTTACCGTTAGTTAGTTAAGTATAAGCATAGTTTACAGTAGTGCCAAATGACTTAGAGTTGTAGAGTCGTGTTTGTCCACTGAGAAATGACAACATGTGGGGAAACCCCCTCTTCAGTTTGGTTTATTTAAAATGATAATTGTTATATGACTGTTTATTTAGTATGGCAAGTAAAATCTTTGAATAGCATTCAGAAGAAATTTGAGGAGTGAATTGTTATGGTCGTACCACGGTATGGTGCATATTGCAGTATGACTGCCTCCATGGTGTAGTGGTTAGCGCGTCCGCCTGGAGTGCGGAAGGTCGCGGGTTCGATCCCCGACCGCGTCATACCAAAAGACGTTAAAATATGGTACTTGTTGGTCCCTGCCTAGCGCTCGGCATTAATGGGTACAACAAGGACTGGTCGGCTCGGAGTCGGTATAATGTGTCTGAGTGGGGTATTCATGCTTCACTGCGGCATGGTATCTCAGTGGGCTAGCACTATAAAACCAGCTACAGTCTGGGCTAGTACAAGCAGCCGCACATACACACGCATGCACGTCGTCATATGAGCGAAATATTCTCTAGCACGACGTTAAACCCAATTCCACCACCACCGCCTATTGCAGTACAAGGCCTTCGGTTCGGTCTGTTTCTCTTCGGTATTTGAGATATGATCATAATACAGAATATTGACAAGAGCCAAACCTAGAGAGATTCTCACAAAATGATTGGATTTCTAGACATTTTTTTAAAGGTTTTAAAAGGTTAATAAAAAACCGAAAATTGTCAAATTTGGATTGCATTACGGTACACTGAACTGAAGGGAAAATGCTACGGTTCTACTGATACTGTGGTATACTGTTTCACCCCAAATGTCAACTTCTGTAATACGATGAAAACTAGCCATATTGAGTACATATGGCAACAAAAAGTGTTTGTTGATATACTTGCTTTATGGGTTATGAAACTTTTGGCCAGTTCTTGATTATTAAAGAAGTTTACATCCATAAATTTCCCCCTTTAGGTTGATAGTGGTTCTTGCTAGAAATTCTCGTTTGCATCTTTGACCAATATGGTTTATCAAAATAATCATCACATATTTTATACCTCAGTCTTGAAACTTTGTCCAAAGCATGTCTGTTAAAGTTTACTACTAGGTTCACCAAACGTCATACACATGTTAATCATTACCCATATGTTTGCCTTTTGAAGTATATTTTTTGCTGTTTATATGAAAACATGACTTTAATGTGTTTAATGGTTATTTTGTCAGGAGCATATCACTGAAACTATACTTGCCAGGTTCACCAAACTTAACACAAGTTAATCATGACCAACAGATGTGCCTTGTGCTATTAATTTCTTAAATTTGATCATTGAAAGTGT